GGTAGTATACTGTAATTTTCATAGTACAAGGGTGCACAGGATGTGATAAAAACAACTCTGCTATATAGTGAAATTTTTTAATTATTTGCAATTAGCATTTATTAGGAACTTGCCACCTTTTGTATTATCATTTGTGAAATTATTTCTTTGTTTCTCCAGATGGTTAAGTGCAATACAAATAAAAATTACAGTGGTTGTATAACACTGTACCTAATTTTGACTTTCGCTGAATATCATTTTGATCAGTTTATTAAAGTATATCTATGGTCAGCATGTAAAATCATATATTCATTTCCACATTGCATTTCAGTATCTATCCTACTCCTTTTATTCTGAATCCTGAAATTTGTAAACTTACTTTGTGAAGATCCCCACACATTAACTTCCTTGAATTCTGTGACACGTGTTCACTATACTTTGCGAGTAGGCATTGCTGGGTCACACATTTCACAGAGCTTTCCTTGTAAATTACACAGGTGCTGAGAGGAGGAGTTTCAGAAGGTGGAGTCAATACAGGACACTGCTTGCAGGCAGCAAGGCACCATGGGATATGTAGTCCTTAGAATGTAAACAGCAGAGGAGAAGGTGCAATGCATGCAAGGAATCCAGGAAGTTGTGGAAAGAGATGACCAGCAGACAGGCAGAACTCACAACATGAAAAGAGATTTTTCAAGTAACCTTATATTTGATTGTCAAAAATAACTATTGTTTGTATTGTTATTACAATGGTGATTCAATAAAAATAAAAGTGTATGCTGTGACCATAGAACTCCCTTAACCACAAGCAACTTCAACTAACACCTTAGTTGAAGGGACTAGATTTCACACGGGGAGGTTTGACCACTAGTTAGGAAATCTCTAATAGCAGAGATAATCCTTCACTGTCCTGAGGAGAAGAATGAAGGAGCAGAAGATCAGTGTTTTAAGAAAGTCCGTTTTGAGTGAGATTAGGGGCAGCTCCTTGGGCTAATGCAAGGCCAGGCAGGTCTCTCTACAACTCTACTTTTTAGTTTGTAACACCTGATAAGTAATCTTTTTAATTTTAACATAAGATCATGGATCATTCACAAAAGCTGAATAAAATATTTTTCCCATAGCATTCCAACAGAATTTGGCTCATTATGTTTCTGGGACAAGCTGGAAAATGTAGAGGTAATGCTTGGTTTACAGTTAAGGATGATAGCTCCATATCTCATTCTGTTTGTATATGTACATGGGACTAATTGTGGGTCATGTAAGAATGCATGATTTACAGTTGGTGGAAAAACAAAAAATCAGTGGAGTTGATTTTACTGCATATTTTAAATAATTCAAAACAAACCCATACCTCCATTTTATAACCTCATTTGCTACCAATTCCATGGTATAAGGCATTAGCTAGACTGAGATTACGTTTAGGGCTTGTCCACACCAGCAAACCATGCTGAACCCACAGCTGCCGGTGTGTGCCGAGAGACAGAGTGTCAATATGCTGATCACCTACCACATGACCAATCAATATTGGCCTGACATCAGACTGGGCCTCTGAACCAGATTTAGGGCTTGTGTCCACAGGCTTTGGTCTTGTGTCAATGACATCAGCTTAACATCAGTTTGAGACACATCTGAAATAATTCAGATCTCATTGACAGGTGCATTGGACCTGCAGGAACTTCCTTCTGACCTGCATTTATTTATTATTATTATTATTATTATTATTATACAGTATTTATATAGTGCCAACAGTTTGCTCAGCGCTGTACATTTAACCTGCTTCAATCTGGCTTTGCATTACCATAGCAAACAAAAGTCAGTCAACACAGGCCCTTATAATGTTCAGCCTGATATGTTAAAGGCATAAATAAACCCAAAATAATTGTAAAAAAATTGCATTTATTACATTTTTACATTGGAGCATGCAGGGCATTGCAGTCACAATCAGTGCATCAAGGGTGCAATACACAAGCTACTGCAGACTCCTCCCACAGCCTCAGGTCTGTAGGAAGGTATAAAAACCCCATTATGGGCCTGGAGAAAATGGACCTCAAGAGAAGAGTGTGGGGGGCGGAGGAACACCTGGGAAGCCTGGTGGAGAACGGACACTGAAAAGTGTCCTCTGAGGTGCCAGTGGGTTTTAAACGGATGTGAGGTTATCTCTCAATGCATTTCGCAGCATGGAGTTTCATCACCAGAGAGGTTGCTACTCACACTTATCCACGGCTATCGATGAATGAGTACGAGCATTCTGAAGGAGGTTGGAGATCATCAAGGAGACATCCCTCACCGCATTTGACTCTTATGCTGTAGCAGGGAGTCCATCGTGTTTGGTGAGTGTGGTTGAAAGAGGGGGCACAGGTCACCAGTCACAAAGTGTTTTCTGAGCACGGTGTCACTTTATGCATCATAAAGCATGGAGCACTTTATTGAAGATTTAGTACAGAGGTGGAAGTATTGCACCAATGGAGTTATATTTGGACACTGATGGACACTTTATAAGTCATTATTGTTTACAGGTTTCTCTGCTGCAGTGACAGATAGGAGTCTTTCCATTCACAGACCCCGTGAATGGATAATGTGACTGTGTGGGTACAGCCGCAAAGGTTTAAAAAACAGGTATGAAGTTGGGGTGTTCAAGGAATGTGACCATGTTTTATGCTACACTCTAACTATGGGTATAACATGAAACATGGTTTCAAAGATGAACTAAGCCTTTAAGTTCAAAGACTCCACAGTTAAAAAAACCCACACCAGTAAAAAGGGAAGCATGCTTTTGTGTGTTCAACACAATAGGTAATAGGCCAAATGATCTTACACGGAGTAAGTTACAGCTAGTCCACATTCACACAGCTGCTGAAGCCCATACTGCGTGAATAAAGCATTTGTTTAAACATCTGGAGCCATGTGGTGCTGTGTGCAGGCAGTCTACGTTAGGGAATGGAGACTCAGCAGCTCTACGGACACAGGTACACACCCAGGTTTGACAGCCATGCAGGAGTGGGTGCATGTCCTTTGAAGCACACGGTCTGCCAACAAACATCTTATATGCACTGTACGGCACTCAGCGCCCATGTGAATGAGGACAAGCTGTAACTTTCAGTTTACCAAATAGGCACAAAATTTAAAGCAATAATGCAAAACGGGTTCAGAATGGCAAAAAAAAAAAACTTGCATACACTGCAGAATAATGAAAGCTGCACAAACATGCATTCTACACAGCAATGTCTCTGTGATTTAATCAGGCTAAAATGTGACTGCATAGCATAGTGTCTATAAAACTCTTTAAACAGTTTAGAAAACAGATACATATACTTATCCTCATAAACAGCATCCCTTTCATTTAAGTCCATGGTAGCTCTGGTAGGAGAGGTGAACAGCGAGCAGGAGTCGGCAACCCATCAATAGTGGTCTACTTGTCAACCGCAAGCAGGTGACAGGTAGACCACGAACAGGCCCCTCTCCCCCCCTTTCCCCCAACCTCCTCCACTGCTACTGACATCCTCAGTGCACAGTGGAGAGCGAAGATAGCACAGCTCAGGACGGAGGGCAGAAGGAGGAACTGGCCAAAGGAATTTTTCATATTAACCCGCAGGTCGGTCCTAGCAACAAATTACCAGCTTGGTAATATGAAAAGTTTCTTTGGCCAGCTACTCCTTCTGCCCTCCATCCTGAGCTGTGCTGTCTTTTGCTCTCCGCTGTGCACTGAGATTGACAGCAGCAGTGGAGGAGGCTGAGGGAAGGGGGCCAGAGGACACTGCTAAGGGGGAAAGGAGGGCAGAGGACTTTGCTAGGCGGGGGGGAAGACAGAGGTCACTGCTATGGGGGAAAGGGGAGGCAAAGGAAACTACTGGGGGGGGGGGGGGAGGTGATGTCCAGAGGACACTGCTATGGGCAGGGCCACCCCCATAGCAGTGTCCTCTACTGCCCTTCACATCACCCCCCCCCCCCACAGTAGTGACTTACTTCTGGCCCCCTTCCCCCCCAGCAATGTCCTCTTCCCCCCTTTTCCCCCATAGCAGCGACCTCAACCCCCCTTGCCCCCCCCCCCCCCCTCCAGCTGTGTCCTCTTGACCCCCCCCCACCCTCCCATGGACAGGTATTTTAAAAATCTGAACTCCAAGCAAGTGGCTGGGGATTGGGATTTTTCTGCCCCCCCCCCCAACCCTGGTGCGCCGAGGCTGCTGCCTAAGCATATGGCTACTTAGGCAGCCACACTAGGGCACCAGGGTAGCTGGGGGGCAGAAAAATCCCAATCCCCAGCCGCTTGCTGGGAGTTCAGATTTATAAAATACCTGCCTTCTGAGGATCCCCTTTATTTTTCCTCCTGGAGCAGCTGAAAGCTATCATCTCCTCCTCGCCCTCCCACCAGCATACAGCTGCTGCAGGAGGAAAATCCAGGGGATCAGTTCGAATAAATGTCTCCCCCCGCTGTCCCTCCCATCCTTTTTTCTGCTGCCTGGCCCCTCTGCCAAGTGCTCCCCTTTCAACAGGGCTCCTAAGGAAATTGTAAAATAAAAAAAATATTAAAAAATAAAAATGTAAAAAAAAAAAACTACTGACACCAACCTCTGCCCTACTGACACTGTCCACTGCTCTACTGACACCATCCATTGCTCTAATGACATCAACCTCTGCTCTACTGACACCGTCCACTGCCATGCTGACTGACACCATCCACTGCTCTACTGACACCATCCACTGCTCTACTGACTGACACCAACCTCTGCCCTACTGACACCGTCCACTGCCCATTTTTAAGGTAGGCTAAGTTTGTATTTTTACAGTGACATTTGTTTTATTATATTTTTCTACGTTTTCCTTGCTATTTAGTTAGACCTTGCTAGTTAATTTTTTTTAACCACCTCCCGCCTGCCATATAAGGAAATGATGGACGGGTGGCAGTTTTTTTCTCATTCGGGGGAGGACATCACATGACGTGCTCCCACTCTAGCTATGCATGCACACCCCCAGAGGTGTGCAACAATCAGTGGTGCGCTGTGTCCCTAGGACACAGCGGATCACTGATCGCAGTAAAGAGCCAATGACATAGGCTCTATCATGTGATCAGCTGTGTCCAATTACAGCTGATCGCATGTAAATAAGAAATGCCGGTTATTGGCAGTCCTGTCCTCATGCTGACAGCGCGTGAGGAGAGGAGAGCCGGTAATCCGCATTCCTCAGAGGGGATATGTACACTGATCATCAGGGCACTGATAACCAGTTCCCCGATGATCAGTGTAGCCCCATTAGTGCCACCTGTCAATGCCCATAATTGCCACCTGTCAGTGCCACATACCAGTTCCCATCAGTGCCACATATCAGTGCCCATCAATGCCACATACCGGTGCCCATCAGAGCTGCCTTTCAGTGCTGCCTATCAGTGCCAGACAGTGCTGTCAATCATTGCCAGTCAGTGCCCATCAGTGCCGCCTATCAGTGCCATATATGAGTGCTGCTTTTCAGTGCCCATCAGTGATGCCTGTCAATGCCCATCAGTGCCTCCTCATCAGTGCAGGCTATTATTGCCCATCAGTGCACCCTATCCGTGCAGCCTCATTAGTGCACATCAGTGAAGGAGAAAAATGACTTATTTACAACATTTTATAACAGAAACTAAGAAAAACATTTTTTTTTTTCAAAATTTTCAGTCTTTTTTAGTTTGTTTAGCAAAAAATAAAAAACCCAGTGGTGATTAAATACCACCAAAAGACAGCTCTATCTGTCTTTAAAAAATGATACAAATTTAGTTTGGATACAGTGTTGCATGACCGCGCAATTGTCATTCAAAGTGCGACAGCGCTGAAAGTTGAAAATTGGCCTGGGCACGAAGCGGGTAAAAGTGCCCAGTAGGCAAGTGGTTAAATGGTGCTGAACCCCGGTGATCTTTGATTGCTTTCATTTTGTTTAAGTATATCTCCACCTCCACCTTGCCTACCGCTGGCTTAGAGGGATCCAAGGTTTAAGGACAAAAAGCCACACCACTGGAACTAGAGTACTCTGGTAAAAACAAGGTAGGGTCTTCCCAGTAGCTGGGTCTTCTATAGAATATAAGGTAAAAGACTCTGGCCTGTCTGACCGCACCATTCTGACAGTGAAGGGCCTCCTACCTGACTGCAGATCACTTCCTAAACTACTTCTTCCTTACCAGGTGTGGCCTCTCTGACTGCTGAAAGAGGAAAGCTGAGGAACTTATACTTCCTGGCCATGTCCAGGAAAAGAAACAATTGTGGGAAATTGAGTTAAAGGGTCCTGAGCCTACATCTGAGCATGGTGAGTACTGTAAATGAACAATCTGCTATATGTCTAACCATTTTACAAAAGCATTTCTGTTTTCCAGATACATTATTTTTTATGCATAGCATCTTTACATTTTTCCCCATTGTTCAAAACGTTTTGATCAGTGGAAAAAGGCAAAACAGAATGATTCATTACAACACAGAGTACTCAATAAATAATAATATACAGCTCTGAAGCAGTGTTATATCTTAAAAAAAAAGTTTCTTTTCACTAGATAAATTAGATTTTTACACACCTACTTAACACATGACATCATTTATTAACAATGATTTGGCTATAGACAGCAGTAAGAAAAAATACATTACCCTAATGAGTAAACACGACATTGCTTATTTTTGATCTGATATGCCAAGCTGAATTTGGGATCCAGGCAGATTGTCCAGGGCTTTATGCTGTCTTCAGACTTCTCTGTCAATCCATTTGTCACTAGTCGAGAACATACAATCTGGAAGACAACAGAATTCCTTTTTTTCCATTATAGAACACAGTTTGAAAGAGCACTCTATTACAAAACACATACACAGGCACTGTCTGGCAGCAGGAATGTGGATGGTGTAAATTTGTCATCTGTGATTCTTTACTACATATTGTGAGGGGCTCCAGGGTTTATAGCAGATGTGGAGAAAATAAAATTTGATATTACTTCCTGTACTAGGTCCTGGAGTCCAGAGGTTTTGTAGAGCTTTAGGTGGGAATAAGCCTCCATTCCTAAGTCCACATCTTACCTGGTAGCCAGACATTGTTGATCTCAGCTGTGCCTTTATGTAAGCTGACTGATGTTTAGGACTGTTATATTGTATCTGTTGCACCTTATATGCGTGTCCCCTGTTCATACAGAGTGCTGTAGTATAGGTACAGTATATACAAGTGTAGTGTGGGTGGTGGTTGGCACCACCATGCGGTCATAGGAAAAGAAGTATTTTCACCAGCACACATGGGTATAGCAATAAACTTGCCGGCACCCCAGAGGATGTCAGGTGTGAGCTTGCTGTGACATCATCATCCAACAGGAAGTCTGCGGTAAGCAATTTTGATGTCACCCGTGGATGTTTGTTTACAAGTACTTTTATTTCTTTTAAAACTTTTTGTCTCTGATATGTTAATACCAGGCTGCATGTGTAATTGAGAAATTTCTCCCAAACGTCTTATGCGATGATTATGGTTCCCTAATAACTAATAACTCCATCATAGATGACTGCCATGATGACCTGTGATTAAGGCGCATGTTGACCTTTCTTTTATTAGAAGGTTATATATATCTGGTAAGTCTTGCACGGTGTTACCTGGTGAAGGATCCTTCAACTTTCTGGGAGATACAGTATCCTTATCTTTTAGTTGTCACTAGAATGCTACACTACTCATCGCATCCTTATCTTTTGGGACTTTAAGATTTGTTTCACTTCACCTATGGATTTGGACATTCAGTTTATTAGCATTAGATGTACAGTAAGGAACAGAAGTATTTGAACACCCTGCGATTTTGCAAGTTCTCCCACTTAGAAATCATGGAGGGGTCTGAAATTCACATTGTAGGTGCATTCCCACTCTGAGAGACAGAATTTAAAAACAAAAATCAGGAAATCACATTGTATGATTTTTAAAGAATTTATTTGTCTTGCACTGCTGAACATAATTATTTGAACACCTAAGAAACAGAAAGAATTCTGGCCCTCAAAGACCTGTTACTGTGCCTTTAAAAAGTCCACCTCTACTCCACTCATTAATCTAATTTAGCAGCACCTGTCTGAGCTCTTTAAAGACACCTGTCCACCCCACAGTCAGTCAGACGCCAACTACTACCATGGGCAAGACCAAAAGAGCTGTCAAAAGACACCAGAGAAAAAATTGTGGACCTCCACAAGGCTGGAAAGGGCTACGGGGCAATTGCCAAGCAGCTTGGTGAAAATAGATCAACTGTTGGAGCAATTGTTAGAAAATGGAAGAGGCTAAAAACGACTGTCAGTCTCCCTCGGACTGGGGCTCCATGCAAGATCTCACCTCGTGGGGTATCACTGATGATAAGAAATGCGAGGAATCAGCCCAGAACTACAAGGGAGGAGCTGGTCAATGACATGAAGAGAGCTGGGACCACAGTTTCAAAGGTCACTGTCGGTAGAACACTACGCCGTCATGGTTTCAAATCATGCATTGCACGGAAGGTTCCCCTGCTCAAGTCATCACATGTCCAGGCCCGTCTGAAGTTTGCCAATGACCATCTTGGTGATCGAGAGGAGGCATGGGAGAAAGTCATGTGGTCAGATGAGACCAAAGTAGAACTTTTTGGTCTAAACTTCACTCGTCGTGTTTGGAGGAAAAAGAAGGATGAGTTGCATCCCAAGAACACCATCCCTACTGTGAAGCATGGGGTGGTAATATCATGCTTTGGGGGTGCTTTTCTGTGAAGGGGACAGGACGACTGCACTGTATTAAGGAGAGGATGAATGGGGCCATTTATTGTGAGATTTTGAGCAACAACCTCCTTCCCTCAGTCAGAGCATTGAAGATGGGTCGTGGTTGGGTCTTCCAACATGACAATGACCCAAAGCACACAGCCAGGATAACCAAGGAGTGGCTCCGTAAGAAGCATATCAAGGTTCTGGAGTGGCCTAGCCAGTCTCCAGACTTAAATCCAATAGAACATCTTTGGAGGGAGCTGAAACTCTGTGTTGCTCAGCAACAGCCCCGAAACCTGACAGATCTAAAGGAGATCTGTGTGGAGGAGTGGGCCAAAATCCCTGTTGCAGTGTGTGCAAACCTGGTCAAGAACTACAGGAAACGTTTGACCTCTGTAATTGCAAACAAAGGCTTCTGTACCAAATATTAACAATGATTTTCTCAGGTGTTCAAATACTTATGTTCAGCAGTGCAAGACAAATAAATTCTTTAAAAATCATACAATGTGATTTCCCGAATTTTTTTTTAAATTCTGTCTCTCAGAGTGGGAATGCACCTACAATGTGAATTTCAGACCCCTCCATGATTTCTAAGTGGAAGAACTTGCAAAATCGCAGGATGTTCAAATACTTCTGTTCCTCACTGTATATCACTTATTGGTTTATATTTGCACATTAATAATATTCTTTATATTTAAGAATTAGCGCAACACAATTTTCTGTCTATTTTGTGACTATGCTAATATCTCATAGTGTGTTTGCAGCGTTTTCAATTTTTTTTTTCATTTAATTTTTTTCTTTATTTACCTAAGCGCAGTCTACATATGCAATTTGCTATATCGATAAACTTGTTCTTTATTTACATAAAGCAACAGGCATCACAAGCCGAAATTTCAGGGTCCTTACAGGGTCTTGTAATGCCTATTGCTTTTTGTGAATAAAAGGAGATTTTCACTATAGCAAGGTGTGCTGGTGCAAATACTTACAGTGCATCCAGAAAGTATTCACAGCGCTTAGCTTTTGCCACATTTTATGTTACAGCCTTATTCCAAAATGGATTAAATACATTTTTTTTCCTCAACATTCTACAAACAATACCTCATAATGACAACGTCAAAGAAGTTTGTTTTGAAATCTTTGCAATTTATTAAAAATAAAAAATGAAAAAAAAAAAACCCACATGTACGTAAGTATTCACAACCTTTGCCTCTCTGAGGCTCCCCATTCACACCTGAGTCCTTGTAACACTAACGAGTCACATGACACCGGGGAGGGAAAATGGCTAATTGGGCCCAATTTGGACATTTTCACCTAGGGGTGTACTCACTTTTGTTGCTAGTGGTTTAGACATTAATGGCTGTGTGTTGAGTTATTTTGAGGGGACAGCAAATTTACACTGTTATACAAGCTGTACACTCACTACATTACATTGTAGCAAAGTGTCATTTCTTCAGTGTTGTCGCAATTAAAGATTTAATAAAATATTTGCAAAAATGTGAGGGGTGTACTCACTTCTGTGAGATACTGTGTGTGTGTGTATATATATATATATATATATATATATATCCTATAGTCCTGCACAGCCAGGCAACACGCATTTTTCACCCACTTGCATTCTGGAGACAGTAAACAGTCCTTGAGCTTGTTTTTTTTTTTCAATTTTTTTTAGGGGGTATTTAACTTGGATGGCGTTTAAGGAGTGTATGGGATGCCCAAGGAAACTGAAGACAACTCCTTAGCAACTATGTCCTTAGCAACTATGT